AGATGTGTTCTCTCGCACAAACTGATGATGTCAAATAAAAAGAAAATATTCTTTTTGTTCAATTAGTACACCCGCTGCCACGAACAATGGAAATTCCAGAAAAAAATACCTAGGTGTTTTTAAAATTTGTTATTACTCCCGCAAATGTGTGTCATACAGCATTCTTTATATTCCTACAGTACATTCATAGATAGTAATGACAAACTGATACTTTTCTACAAAGGAAAATGCCCGTATGTAGAGGCAGCCTAATAAAGGTGTAAGAAAATGTTCTGAGTTCTGCTAAATTAAATTGTAAACCAGGTTTTGTTATTGTGGCATTTGTGTCAAATTCCAATATTTAAAAAATAATAATATTGGGCATTAACATTGCACTTCAATCAAAAAACAATATTGGGAACATATAAAACTTTCGACTACTTTTTAAAGACAATGTATCATTTTTCAAGAAACAAATTTGTATTGATGCCTAGACCAGTAAACAAAAGTCAAGCTTATTATTTATTGACTTTTCATTTGGATACTAAGGTATTAGATATTAAGACTTACCGATTGTTTACTTTTATTGATTACTTTTTTACTTGTACTGATCAGATACTACGTTCTGCAAAAAAACTATCTGACTTATGTACTGTGCAAAAACATGATACAAATGAAATGCTTTCACTGTATAATAATGTTATCAAAATATTTTACCACTTTTTTGGTTTATAAATGTGCCTCCCACAATAGGATAGTTTATTGTTTATATTGTACATACAGTAAAATATGTATAAAACTTGTATCGGTAACTTTGTGCACTCAATATCAGATGAAATTTAGAGAACTGGTCCAAAAATTGCTATTCTAGCCTATTTGTACATGTCTCTTTGTTTAAATGCCTGATAAAAAGGCACCTGTGAAAAATGTTAACACAGAAGCTTACTGATTTAAAATCTGATTACAGAATTAATTCAGGATGGAAATGTACAGTGTAGGTACAGCAAAAACAAGCTTGTTATGGACTGCTGGAATGGGCTGCCATATAAAATCCAACGACCTGAAACAAATAAAAATATAAGTTTGGTTACTTTGCCTGAATAAATACAATTTATTGAATGTAAACCGCAAATTTTCACATCAATTTTCTGTATTTCTTAATGAAAGGTATTGTAACTCCATTATCTCATCACACTTAATGGCTTACTGTTCTCTCCAGTTTTCTTTTTGAAAACTGGAGAAAGGACATTGAAAGTAAGGCCTCACTCACCGACTATTCATTACTTAAAGATGCAATTAAATTAGAAAATTATCTATTAGATAAATTGGATTTCGAAGGTGTATCATTGAAATTTAAACTTCGCTCCAATACATTGCCCCTTGATAGTAGAATTTCTAGATGGTCTGAAGACAAGAATGGCTTATGTACTCTTTGCAATACAAATAATGAAGAAGACATAAGACACATCTTATTCTCTTGTCCCGCTCTCCTAAACATACGTTTATAGGAGTTAAATAAACTTGAATATAAATTAAGTAGTCATAACATCAATTTTTGGGATCAATTTTTAAGTGCTAATATTGATATTAAATTAAGCTACGTCCTAAGCTCAAATGAAGTAGAGAAATACTTTGATGAATTTTGTAAAAGTTATGGAAAACGAGCGTGGAGAAAAAGATCTGAATTGAAGCACTTGCAAAATTTATCGTAGATTAAGTATCTGTATTACTGTCTTTTCCTTTTTTTTTTTTTAACTAATTAATTTTGTTTGCCTTAACATTATTGTTGAGTTTGTTGGTGGTACAGGTGGCCCTTGGAAACTTGTGACAGGCAAGGCAGGTTGTATTTCCTTGTCATGTTTTTCGGGGAGCTACTTGCCTCATCAGCAGCACTACTCACTTGTGTTCATTTCATTTTTACTTAAGATTCCCTTGTTTTGTTTCGTAATTTTTTTATTAAAAAATTTTTTTTTTTTGTACTTGTAGCTAAGAATTTTAATTCACTTTGAACGCACCAAATGATTTTGAGTGCCACCGAACTAAAGGTGTATGTTCTAATAAATGATTGATTGATTGATAACAGGATGGTTGTGTATAAGAGACAGCTTAAATTTACTTGGTGGGGAGTAGAAACCAAGCATGCAATTAAATAAGTTGCTTAAATAAATGTATTCCTAATTATCAATTGATTAACAAATACTTCTTTGAAGTAACTCTAAGTAAAACATTTGTTGAAGTAAAGTAAGCCTCCCTTTTCCCATACATGAATTTGTCATTCAAACATACAATTGATCCACATGCTTTAAATACTGTTTATTTTGATTAACAAATACTTCTTTGAAGTAACTCTAAGCAGAACATTTGTTGAAGTAAAGTAAGAATAAGTACTTGAAAACACTACTCACGCTGCAGAATTTGGTGAAATGCTCTCTGCAAAATTGGTCAAATTACTGTTTAAATATTGCCGGTCTTAAATGACCTTTATGTCCACGATCTGTGATATAACACTATTAAAACCATATTTGATTGCATAATGATTGAAAGATGTCTTTTACTTACAAGTTGATACTCTTTAATATACCAAAATCATGGACATGGGGGGGGGGGGCTGAGGAACCTGAGTTTAACAAAAGTATAAAGACAGTCATACAGATAAATTCTTATTGCCATTCTCCACAATGAAATGGAAGATACCAAAAACACTATTTCGATATTATGCTGTACAGTTAAACTTACAAGTCGACTTTGCCTAACTCAAATAATTTCTAAGTCGATCTCATTTTTGACTATGCAATTGTAACTTTACAGTATTGTACTGTATACAATGTCTGGTTTTTGAGATGAAATTTCTAAAAAATGGTGGAGTATACTAACTGGAGGCCTCAGTAGAAAAATATGGCAATTTATTTTTTGCATAGCGGATTAAAAAATTTCTAAGGAATTTTTGTTTCATTCGGAGATAGAGGATTCTCATAGTTCTACTTTAAACGTAACCCAGCGATTTAGAGGTGGTTCGTATTTTATGTTATTAGTTCCAATTTTCATTTTACACATTTCTTCAAGTGTTTTAATTATAACATACAACAATATATGGTATATATTACACAAAAACGAGCATAAATCTAATTTTAATTAACAAACAAAAAATTCTCACTGGTTTGATCTCAACCGGTTTCTGGACAAAATGGCAATAAGTAAGTCGAAACGGCAATGACCAAAATGGCAACACTTTTTGATTTAAAATGGTAATAGACCACAATGGTAATAAGTCAAAAAACGGCAAGACCAAAACGATGCTAAACAATTTATGTCAAAAGTAAAAACGAGAAAGAAATTAACTAATTATAAACATGAAAGTGTACTAAGATTAAATATGGTAAAAACCTGTCTAAATACACTAGCACTGCAGCAGCAAGAATATCAATAACAATAATAACAATAAATCATTAATAATAATAATAATAATAATAATAATAATAATAATAATAATAATTGAATATTAAAAAGATTGGGGGAAACAATATAAAAACAGTAGACCTAAAACATTTAAACAAATACAACTTTAAAAATACATACAAAATGAGGTTAAACAATTTATGTCATAAAAGTAAAAAAATGCGAAATAATATTAATGATAAACATTAAAAGTGGGAAAAAGACCTCATGGCAATATTCAATTTGCCTATCGAGACAATTTCAAAACGATTCAGAAATTTTTAAACTGGGGCCCACGTCCTGTGGCGCTTGCTAGCCTTGGCATTGATTTCTCTCCTTTGCATTGGTCTCAGATGTCATTCTGGTACTTGTCACTGCCGTTTTGGTTCATTGCCATTTTGGTTATTGTCGTTTTCACCTGCTACATCTCAAACCTTTCTATTTATTTCTAAAGTATCAAGGATAATGTATATTTAAAAAAAAAATATATATATCAAGTCTACTCTAAGAACAAATAGTACAGGAGCACCACAAGGGTGTGTGTTGTCCTCCATACTTTTCTGCCTGTATACCAATGATTGAATGAAAAAAAATGAAATAGATAATTATGTCTGGTGGTGCGATGAGCACTATCTAATTAACATGAAAAAGACTAAAGAGATGGTAATTGATTTGCGCAAAGGACAGAATGGTTCGAATTACTAAAATTAAAAATAAAACTATTAAACAAGTTGACGAATACAAATATTTAGGTACTATTATAGGTAACAAACTAATTTTTCAACTCAATCAGAAACTACGATACGTAAAGCAAATCAAAGCTTTAGTGGTTTTAATGTTGATAAGACTATATTACTAATCTTATTTTTTAAATCTGTTGTTCTTAGCATTTTAACTTTTAATCTAATTTGTATTATATATACGATAACGTGTCGAAAAAGAACATATTAGCTAAACTTGAACATACAACTAAGGCTGTCAAACGTATAGGAGAGGTCGCTGAAATTGAAACTATTGAAACATTATATACTAGCCTGATTCATTCAAAAGTACATAAGATAATTAATGATAAAACACACCCTCTCAATATTTTTTTAATTACAATAGGTCTGGCATAAGATTGTGTGTACCACGTTCTCGTACATCTAGGTACAGGCACTTATATTCCGAATTCTATTTCTATTTTTAATAAGCAGGTAATTTGCCAATAATTGTGTTTATTTTTAACTTCTTTTTTGTGTTGTGTGAAGTTTTTATTGGGACATATTTTTTGTGTATTTGTCTGTGCTCTGTATTTTTGTGTTTTTACTATTTTCTAGGCCAAAAAGGAAAGCAATTTTCAGAGTGTTACAAATTGGACAAATAAATAAATATATCTTACATATATCTTATACTACTAGGCCTTGGTCTAGCCTAGTAGTAGTACCCTAGGCTAGCCTATGGCTAGCCTAGGCCTAGGTAGGCTAGGCCCGAGTCTAGGCTAGCTAGGCCCTAGGCCTAGCTAGTTAGGGCCTAGGCCTAGCTAGTTAGGAGCCTAGGCCTCGAGGCCAAGGCCTAGCCTAAGCCTTGCGTAAAAAAAGATAAGCCATTTTTAAGTGTTATGTTTCCATTTCCAATTAAGCATTTGTTAAGTCTTACCTAGTTTAAATGTACGTCCGTATCGTATACGCCTCAAACACTCAGATTTTTTTTTTTAGTGTTGACGTTTATTTCACGGCAATTTATGTATATTGACGCAAATTTACCTACATTGACGCAGATTGTTATGGTTTGACGTAAAATGACGCGATACTACCTTCAAAAAAAGTTTCCCTATGCTAAAAGTGGAAGAGCCAAGCTACGTCACTGTTTTGCAAAGCCTGGCTGCTTTGCAAAGCGTGGCTGACTTGCGTCTCGCTGCCGGTCTGCAGCAGGATCTCTATCGCTGCGTCTCTTTAACGCGTTCGAGTTTCGAACGCAATTTTGTTGGAGTTCCGAACGCTATTCGATTGTCAATAGAGTGCGCCCTACCTGGTGGTAGTAGTACCCATCATGCCTAAACCGGATTTACCCTTTTCCGCCATCTTTAATTGCTCCATCATGACATAGTGTCTACGTACCCGGTAGGGGTAGACACAAAAACACAAGATTTTCAGAAGATTTCACGAAATCTTTATTTTAAACAAATTTGTTCCATTCAAACAACACATACACTAGCACATTTTACATCCCAAAACTATTATGCCAGTTAAAAAAAACAAAAAAACCCAAATATATGAGTAAATAGGAGACGGAGTCCACAAGCTGCTTATCTTAATATACCAGAGCATTATGCATGTCAAATTCACTCCTACATATATTTAAGAATTTGTATAATATACAGAGTATCATTATTAGAATGTTGAAATCATACAATATATGTATATATCATATTTTTTACTGTTTATATATTTATTTATGTATGTATACAAATATATATATTATATATATATACATATATACATAGCACTGGACATTTCTTTTTTTTTTCTTTTTGAGATGAGCATTCTTTTCAAAATGAATACTGTAAATTTTGGGAATTACCGGAAAACAATAAATACGGCCACCTGAACTACAGTACTGTATAAACCAAACATGTTTAAAATTTATTTTGTTGCTTTGAAAATCATGTACAGTGTATGTTTTTTGGGGGGGGGGGTTCAATTAAAAAATGGGCTTCTTCTCATTAGGCTTCAATACGAGGTTTTACGGTATATTACTGTTCATACACATGTATTATAATTAGTTCCCATTTAACTTATTTTGAAAAGGTGATGGGAAAATAATCATGTTGTGTGACGTCTAAGGCTTTAACAGCTACTACACAATATCCAACCATAACAAACATTTAATAATGGCATAATTTCATAGTGTTGACAATTAGGAAAGGATTTTGCAAGTTGATTTTTTTTTATTTTAGAATTTCAAATAAACAGTTGACAGGAATTCATGGATGCATTTTTATTTAAATACTGAAATTAGAAACAGTAATAACATACTGAATTGAATAAAAGATAGACCCAACTATAAACTCCGTGTTCTACCAGGAATGTAAAAGTAAGGCTTAATAAACATCTCCTGAAAGTTTGCTAAAGTTATAGCTAGAAAAGACAGTATCTAATTGCAAGTCCAGATAGAACTGTTATACTGACTCGTATCTTGCTAGCAAATAAACACCACATACAACAACCTAACTGATTTACAGTATAAGAATCAACATGAAATTGTTAAATGAATTACTGTATTTCAATTTCTACAAACACATGGTGGCAAGTAGGGAGCTTTTGAATGCATGATAAAGATAGGACTTACAACTTAGTGACGTCACTAAGAGGTGATCTGGCCACGGGGAAATGTTGAGTTCTCGTTGTTGTCTGAATTCTCGTTGACGTCTGAATTCTACGACACAGTTTTGGCCCGAGTCTATGTTTTGCAGAAAATGCTAGAGAACGGTCACAGATGATGAGTGAATCAGTTCAAGAGTCACGTTGTCGCGCAATTTGAAAGCTCCCTAATATGAGAGTGCATAACAATATCATCCACAGAATTACATTACATACATTTAAAATCAACAATGGCCTTCTGGAGCATATCTAGCGCAAAATCCGACAGCCAGAACTCACTGCATCGTACGACAAATCAAACTCCATCCGCTGTCGGTTACAATCGTTAAAAACAATCAATTGCACGCGCATCGTGGCACTGTGTTCTCCGGAGAAATTGTGCTGGCCGACAACCGTCGGTTACTTACAGCCTTTAATCCGATATAAAATTAGTTAGCCCCCCCCCATACTAACAGATTTGCAATTACATTAGGTACCTTAACCACACTTTAAAGCCCTATACAGACTATAAACTTTATTTGACAAAAACATGTGACATGCCTTAATATGGTCATGATGACATCACATCATGACCATATATAGGTACATTCCGACTAGTGTATACAACAGTTTCCTGTCATAGAAAATGTTATAGTCCGAACAGGGCCTAACACAGTCAATAGCAGCTGATATTTAAGTGACTGTCCAAGTCTACTTGACTAATAAGATGCAAGAAGCAGCAATGCTTTGCGTAAAATTTACTTTCATTTCCATACTTTGCCTCCCTAATGTGGGACCGGACTAAACAATAAACCAAAACAAGTCTTAAATACTTTTCCTAAAAAAAAAAAAAAAAGCATCATGCATTAGTTATAAACAAAATATTTCTTCTTATGAGAGTAATTTATATTATTTTAATAACCAAGTAACATATGGACATCAATATTGGATTACAAGAAAATAAATTTATATACGATTAAATGTACTTGACAATACAACTTTATTAGGATCCTAGAGGTAACATTTATTTTGGATTTCAAAATGAGAGTGAGTGTGTATTCTAATTCAAATATTTAGTGTACAGTATAATAAATTACAAAATCTAAAATAAAAATAAATAAAAATATTGAAATTACAATAATCTTGACTTCTTTGATTTGCCCGAGCTTCAGAATGAACGCACGTCAAAACAATCTTTTAACACCGAAAAAAAAAAATGCATAATCAGCAAAACATAGCAAAAACCGTCAATTCAAAAGCGGCTGTTATTGGTGACATAATGTTTAGACAAAATCATTCGGTATTATTGTTAGAGGTATAATTTCAGTCAATATATAAAAAAAAGGACGCTTGGGATTGGTTGGTAAAAAACAGTAACAACTACTATGTTCTTCACAAAACAAATTATTTTACACATTCAGCTAATGTATAATATACAATGGGTTTCTATTGGTGTTGACACTGTACTCCATGTCCACCACCCATTCTTGGATCGTCATCGTCGTCCTCTTGGTAAGCTGCCGAGCGTGATTTTCCGTCGCGGTAATTTGGATCAAGGTCCATCAACATGATATCTTCAGCATCATTTGATTCTGGATGTTGAGGTGGTGGCCTTTTCGGTAGAAAATTCTCTATTTCCTAAAAAATATTATTGCATATATATGAGACAAAAACATCAAACATTTTTTGTTGTTCGTTGAGAGTTTGAATGTTTTCATAAACGTAGTTTGTTAAACACTTGTCTTGTCCTGTAAAGATCTTTTTCAGTAGTAGTTCTGTGGGCTACACAAAATTTCTGGAAAGCTGATTACAATAATTTAAATAAATGTTTAAAATAAATATATAAAATTGTATAAGTATTAATTTCTTTTAAAAAGTGCTTAATTGTAATTATTCACTTACCAGCAGTTTTTCGTGTGTTTGAAAAGAATTTTCTGGAAACTCTACTATAAACTTTACTATGAGATTACCCTTCTCATAAGGGCTTTGGTACATAGGCATTCCTTCATCTGCTACTAACTTCATTGAATCAGGTTTAACAACACTCCCTGCATGGCTCTTAACGATCAGTTCACGTCCATCAAGATGCGTTAGTTTGAAACTAAATCCACAAAGTGCTTCGGTTATGCTGATCTTGTGTTTTATATGGAGGTCAACGCCCTGCCGTTTGAACACGTCATGCTCTTTCTGATCCAGAATGATAATTATGTCACCTGGCTCAACGTCGGGCTAAACGAAAAGAACACAACGATCAATTTCATCATATATCATACACTGTATATATCATATCATATATCATATCATTTATTTCTTTTATAAAACACATAAAATACAAAGACAAACAAGATAGAAATACAACATTTGAAACATAAAAGCTTAAATAGTCATAAAAAAAACTCGACTGGATTGCTCAAAAGTAAAAACAAGTTCACTGTCCAGGAGCTCTCTGCGTTAAATCTGACTTATAAAATAAAATTCATACAAACATGAAAAATATAATTTTATTTTAATAATCTAAAATTACAACATAAAAAAAAAAGCGAGGTTAAAATATATAAAAATACAATAAAATAAAATAAAATATTTTTTTATAATGAATTAAAAATGAACAGAAGCCACAACATGCAAAATTTTTTTTAATGCAATATGAAATTTTAAAATAAAACACCCTCTGCACTGGTTTAAAAACTAAAATCAAATTCAATGTTTTATATTATTATTGTAATTTAAATCATTATTATCATTATTATTAATCATTATAGTGACATTTTCAATAGTGTGTGTTAAAATATTCCAAAAGTCCATGCTGAAAAATATTAAGATTATGCTGCCGATTCTTGAGTTTGGAATTGCATTCCAAGGAGACGGGCCAGCCAAAGAAAATAAACAAGCACCTCAAAGGGTCTTACACATAGGGGTAGGATAGAGGCACTTGTCAGCGGATCTAAGACCTTGCCGCACAGGCTAGTAAAGATTAAAAAGCTGAACAAGATATTCAGGCAATTCATGCATGAGTTCCTTCAGCCTGTTCCTTTATTCATTATGATTATTATAATGATGGCATGGTGAAAAAAAAAATTATTAGCTATTTGTTTCCAAGAGCATCATTATGAATTCAAAAAAATATAAATGTTTAATGTACAAGAAGATACCACTTGAGTATTCAATTAAAATACTGTAGGGTATGATAATTAAACATGAATATTTTATTTTTATTTTAATATTTTATTTCATATACATCAAAACATCAAGGAACTCGCAAACTACAGGATAGACAAAGCTTAATACACGAAGTCTCTACGTGGCATAGTCACGAGTTGTAGTCCTGCTGTCGCAAAAAATTAAACCAAGGACATTGGGATTAGAAGACAAGCATCTAAACCGCTCAACTTTTCAACTTCGCTCTATCTAATGAAAGAGCACTTTTTCTAATGTATTTACTTGTTCTATATTTGCAAAAATAAAAAATTATGCTGGTAAAATGCAGCCTTCTGCAAACTAAATGCAGTATTATATTATTTGGAAATGCTTTTTGGATATCGGTAAAAGCACGAAGACAGACATAAACCAAAATCACACTGGACTGAAAAGGGAAGATTTTACCGATATCGTGGGTAATATTTCATTGGATATATCTTACCACTGTCCGCACTTGGATTTTATAAAATGGTAAAACTAACCGAGCCGTGAAACTCAATTGCGCCATAATCCATTGAGCAATGCTCAAAATGACTCAGGATGCCTAACCGAGACATGTGCGTGCATTGGAATTTTCAGCTCAGTAAAAATAACCTGGTCAGTTTTACGGGACACAATCCACTCGGTTAAAGTAACTGCGTCTCAGTAAGTGGTTCCTAGGCTGTTCGCACTAGACTAATCACAGCAAGTATAACCAGTGTCTCAGCTTTAACAGGAAAAAAATAAAATGTTTACCTGTTGATCCCCTTCTCCTCTCAAATATATCTTCTGCCCATCTCTCATTCCTTTTTCGACGTGCACATCTAATATCTTGGTCTCCTTGATAGTTTTTCGGCCATCACACTCTCGACACTTGTCGCTCTCTCTCATAACTTCACCTGTAAAAATGCATGATTTAATAATACTGTAGGTGAAATTAAATCAACTTGGTATTTACCAATCCCTTAATTGCGAGCTCCAGAACTCACTGTCATACTTCAAGGCATCTTTCTTCCTCTTTACATGTTAGTAATCATATTGCATTTGCTTTAAATTACACCTTGGGGGTGGGGGGCTGAAAGTGTAGGCATAAGCAATCTTTTATGAAAAAGATAAAAAGATGGTCACAAATTGACACAAATCATCAATTTATTGTTTTCTCATTCAGGGGAGAGAGGGTAGAAAAGAGTGTGTTTTATGAAAATTATTAAACACATCATTTTTATGAAAATAGTCAAAAGTGGATTCTTGTTAGTTTTTGGTAATAGAAATATCAGTTTTGTCAGGAAGCAAACACTAAGATACTATAAAAGGTTGTAATTATGCGAATGGACATACCTTCACCCCGACACTCGGAACAAACAGACTGCTGTTGCTGAACCATACCTGGCCCAATCTGCCGCATTGTTATCCGTATTCCACGACCATTGCACGGGCTACAATGACGTTTAGTGCCTTGCTTACCACCGTACCTTGCAATATGATTAAAATAAAATATTTACTAGCAGGTTCACAATAGAAAGTTAAAGTAAATCTTGCCAGGAATAGAGCATCAAGGGACCCAAATGATCAGCTTAGGATTATCCTTGTTAAATTATATAACAACTAAAAATAAACAAAAATCATCTTTAAAATATATATTTAATTTTTTCAATTTTTTTGCTTTTCCGGCTAGTTGGGTATTGCCGCTCTTATTCTGCAATTTATTAATATACTCTGAATAATTAATAGGTATAATAAATAAATTCATTCATTATTATTATTATTATTAGAACCGTGAAGATCTAGAACCGTGGAGATCATGAATCGTGAAGATCTAGAACCATGGAGATTAGAACCGTGGAGATCTCTAGGTCCCCGGTTCAATTCCCATCGCTGCCTCTCCTTGTGTTTCAGCTAGAGGGCTGAAATCCTTGTGTTTCAGCTAGAGGGCTGAAATACAAGTTACATAGCGCACCGTCTTTCGGATGAGACGTTTAAGCCGTTGGTCCCATGTGCATTTATGGCCCATGTGCACGTTAAAGAACACAGTACACTCTTCGGAAAAGAGTAGGGGATTGTCTCCCGGTGTACTGTCCAATCACCACCAGAAGGATCCCACTGGAAATAAGTCTTCTTCTAGACTTTTGTGGGCTATCCTTGGTGTTTACACCAAATAAATCCAATCCAATCCAATTATTTATTTAAAAAAAACAAGATCAAAGCGCTGTACGTTAAAACCCATTTTTAAGTAAGATAAAAGCCAAGTAGAATGAAAAATTAATCAATAAAAATGCCAAATAGAAATTACTACATCATTAAAATTTCCACCAAATATTGCCAGTTAGCGATAAAACTGCATTGGAACAATAAAACACATCTGATTCAAAATTAAACAAAGAAAAAAATTGTATTAAGCTGCTATATATTCCAAGCATAAATTCTCACTAAAAGAATGAAATAAAGAAACTTCAAAACTTGAAACATATACTCACCCTTTGCATTTCTTACATATAACATTTTTACTAAGTTGAAGCTTGGATGTTTTTCCATTATACATATCTTCTAAAGAAACCCTACAAAACAAAGTAACACACAGTCAATATATGCTTCCTAATGCTGTGTATATAATTATAATTTTGTTTATTAGTAACTTACTTGTATGGTACTTAAAGAATGCACCATCAGTCATGAGGAAAAAAACATATAAATCTTAATTCTACATATTTGAATTGGTCAATTTGGAAAGTTATTAACTTATAAGTAAAAGTTTGAATAAAGAAAAAAAAATCCCCAAATCAATTTTTGTACATTTAACTAATAACTTTCCTGTATTCTTTCACACACAGTACATTAAATCCTTACATTGGATGGTAATCCACTTAAGGATTTTTTAGTAAATTAGTGAAAAACTACTTTTTTCCGTCTGTTTTTGTTGGAAGCGAATAATCGTATTTGATCCTTATAAATGAGTTATTCAAAATTTTATTTGACATTTTAAGGTATTTTCCTTTCTTTTTGACTGATAGTACAGTATATCTTTAATACCATATCAATTATTTTTCTGATTGGCATAGCCACTAGAAAGTACCGTAATTTAATTATGTTTGCCTATCCTGTCCCGCCATTAGATATTATTTACTTTCTCTGTCATAATGTTTTTGTCAGTTTATTGCTTTTGGATCAAATAAATGAAATGAAATACTGCAATAATAGAAAACCTTAAAAAAATAAATAAATAAAAACTTACTTAAGTTGATGCATTTTATCTTCACCTTTCCTCCTGCGATGCCTATGGTGTGCTCCCCCAAAACCTCCAAACCCAAAGGGTCCACCGCCACCCCCAAATATATGCGAAAATATATCATCCATGTCACCTAGAAAAAAAGGATCAGAAAAGCAGTTATGACAATGTAATTTGGAAAAGTTACTGTATTAGACTGAGAAAACACAATTGTGGCAATGTTTGCTTGTACAGTAGTAACAAGTGTTTGTTGTAAAAAAAACTTAAAACTGTCATTATTAGCTTAATGATTATTAAGAAATTAGCTTGGGTCGGTTGATTATCGTGGGAATCTCATCATCGCTGATATGGTGAAGCAATCCACTAACTGGCTGATGAAAGTTGAAGTGGTTGGGTGGTTTCGTAAGGAGTTGAGTGGCGCCACACCCAAATGCAATTCAACACAATGATGTTGCGAGTATGGGTTATTCTTCCACTGTACCTTTACCTAACTTTATGCATTATCGTGATAATAATTACCTGCATATCAGAAATAGTTTAGAATTCCTAGTTCAGACAAGCATTAGGGGTCCTTCACAATTATCAACACAAGTGTACAAAACGTACTTTGGGGAAGGGGGTAAAAATCGTCACAACCACGAAAGAAAACTGCTGAAATACACACCGTGACACGTATAGGATTGTCTAAAATATCCTACCTAGGCTACTGGCGAAAGTTTGATGAACTCCCGATCCTCTATGCTGGCCGTACGGTAGTGAGAATATACATAGGGCAAGGTGTATAAAGCCTTCTTTTACGTAAGCTAGAATTATAGCTACACTGTACAGGTGTGCCTAGAAATAGAGGCTAGGCTTTAAGCCTACACATATTGAAATATAATACTCTCATCATCATTCATTGAATGTCTTCCAGAAAAATTTCATTGTTTTTTTGTAATTTTCTTTCCAATTCCTTGTTTTACAATTACAATACAGTAGAACCTCGATTTTACGTACAGTACAGGACGGAGGGCGTACACAAATCGGGGGATTCGTAAAATAGAGTTAACGCTCAATATACGTATATATGAACGAACGATGTTACCTGGCTAGGCTAGACCTAGCCTCTAGGCCTACGAAAAAAAAACCATGTGTTTAGTGTTTTTATTCATCACTTTACGATGTCATAATAAAGTGTTCAAATAAAACAATGTGTCTAGTGTATTAATTCATCACTTTGTCTTTTATTTAACTATTAAAGAACAAGAAAATATTGTAAGATTACCTATACGACAACGGTATAACTTGGGAATTCCCCTTCATGCCTATTCTAAACAACAGAGCTGTGGTGTTGTCTGGGCCTGTTGAGACAAACTAAATCCATATGCACTGGGCGAGCCTACCAATTAGCGTTTGTGTACGTGAAACAGCAAAACCATGTGCACTGCACTGGGCGAGCCAACCAATTTTTGTAGGCTAGTCATACCGAATTCACTGACTGGGCTATGCTAAGCCCATATTAGCGTCTAGGCTAGGCCCTAACTGGCCTACCTTATTCGGAAAGGATTCAATAGAAATGTTCCACAAACCGATCTTTCCGGAAAACCAAACATCGTATTGTGAGAGTGAACTCTACATACAAATAAATTCCTGTATTTATATTTCGCGGCATAATTTCATACAGAGACAACAGAACGATTTTTCTGTATCTGTCAGTGTTACTTCATCGGTGATAGCCAGCATGATTAGCATGTCACAAATATGTTATTTGGGCCTTTCGAAGTTGGCAAGATAGTGGCTAGTGAAAGGGATTGAGGACCAGTAAAAATATTAATTTACTGATCCACTTGGCTAGTTAAAAAAACCTTAAGGGAAACCCCTGGTATATGGATACCGCTATAATTTTTGAATAAAAACTTGTTGAAATTAATTTATGCTATAAAAAAACGAGTTTTCTTGAAGTTGTAATAATTATTTTCGCCCAGGAAATTAGGAAAAATTAGGTTGGCAAAAATTTGCCGACATTAAATTCTCCGAGGTCGGCAGCCTCTGCAATTTTTTACTACTTAGGCCTATAGTATAAACTATGATTTTTCCAAACATTTGACCTTACATCGTCATCTACAGATTGTGATTTTGTTAATTTCTCTTAAATCAATATATTGCTGGTGAAAGAATGGTTGTATTTAATAGTGTTATATAATATTATTTTTTACATAAGTAAAGTGTCGAATAAATTTCGTTTTAGCGTTCGTTTTATCGTTATCTTTGGCACGGCAACTTTCGTAAAAGCTACGATCGTATCATCACAGCATCACAGGCTGCTTCAAAACTGCCCATGCATGTCGATGCACATGCCCAGAATGATCTATCAGGGATTTTCACACATGTACAGTACTTGTCAGTAGTGTGAAGTCACGATGCGATCATGATTATGTTTAAACGGACGGTAGGATTATGCCTACAATATGTTGAATTTTGTTGTTTTTAGATAATAAACAACATTTTAAATATGATAATAATATTGTAAATTGAAGACAAATAATTGATTTAGATAAGCATTACGATCTACGCGGCCCACATGGCTTCAATTAGGCAATGCTGTAGGCCTTGGCTGGCTAGCGTCATTCCTAGGCCTAGCCTACAAAACGACTAGGTGAGATTGAAAGTACACAATTCGTACGTACAGTACTGCATGCCTATTAGAAATAGTTACAGTATTGTACAGCACAAACAAATCTGTTTCATGAACCACCAATTTCCTTGGTTTGACGACGTACATGAAATTTAGTGTCTGCTATAGCCTGCTTCAGTAAAAGTTTTTGACTTTCCAAGCAGTTTTTGAAGCAAAGAAATCTAGGTCTAGGTCGGCAAAACATTGCCGTTGTGTAACAATTCTGGCCCGGCAATATGGTCGGCAATTGCCGATTGCCGAGGTGAAATTCGTGGGCTGTATTTTACTGGAATTTAACTGTAGAAAGGCATATGTCATCTGTGTATGCGTAAACTTTGTATCACACGATATTTCTCCAGTTCTGTTTTTGTTTACAAAATGTGGTGCGGGTTGGTGCATGCTTCGCGTAGTGGGCTGAAGTAATGAATTACCAATATTTTTAGCTTAATACCGACTGCTATTAGTCACCATAATATTAGAATGAATTTTTAAAATAGATAAATATACTCAATAAGTATTTTATTTTATTAGATTTTAAACTTATAAACTAAACTGATGTTGAAAATTTAATGTAGCACGACTGTCTAGGAAGAAATGGGGATTTTCCTAGAGCTGCCTAGAGCAAGAATACGTTGTTTCATTGCGGTAGCGTGGAGTTTACACGCATTTCCAGTTGTTTGTTGCTTAATAATCGGCCGAAAAAGATAAAATTTCTTTATGTGAACATTTGTAAATAATGTCAATTTTTCAAAATAATTAAAAACTTAACATTATGGGAACGGATTGGAGCTTAAAAATAGGTGTAGCTTATACAAAGGTGACACAAAAAATCGAGACATTTCGCGTCCTAATTGGGGGGGGGGCAGCTTATACACAGGTGCGACTGACGGTATTATTATAAATCAATTCGGCAATAATTAACTTGGCCTAAGCCATGTAGTAAAAAAAAAAAACAGTACAATACTATTTACTAGGCCTATAAATAACAACTAGGCATCATTCATTGGTGCTGCTGGGCCTATGGCATCCAGTATTTTAGAGCTGTCTATTCTCAGCTTTTCTTTTAATTTGAAAATAATTAATCACATTCTCTTAGTACATACAAAATCAAAACTCTCTGCACACTTGTGGAGAATCCCTTTAAAAACTAAGTTTATCGTAATTATTTCTGACGTCAAAATAAATATAAACTTACTCTACACGAATGGTCAATTTGTAAGCATTAAAGTACTGTATGACAATCGCATTGTTCATTATTAGTAGTCGATTAGCAAATGGTCATCTTAGACTTACCTGGGCCTCCATCCGGCCCACTTTCCTTCAGGCCCTCCATACCGTATCGGTCATAAATCTCTTTTTTCCTGGGATCAGTAAGAACCTCATGAGCATAGCTTATTTCCTTGAACTAAAAAAAAAATCATTCAATTAAAAGTTGAAAAAAAAATGTGAATGGAACGAGATAAGTTCTTCAGTTGTCTTCACATCACCCCCACATAAAAAACACAGATATATATCTTAAAGAAATTTTTGTACGAGAAAAAAAATTACCATTATAATTAATAAACTAAAGAAACATTATCTGTATGTCATATTTTTAAATTGTACCTTTTCTCCATCATCCGGGTTTTTGTCTGGGTGATATTGTTTGGCAAGTTTACGATATGCCTGTAAATAAATACAAAAAAAATGTCAATATATTTGGCTTCTACAGGCCTTGAGATCTATTTACAAAAACCGACAGTCAAATATCAGGTGATTGTCTGCGTTCTTTGCAGACATCACATAAGGTAGACACAGTTGGGTATCCAGGAGTTTGAAAGAGGGAGGGAGGGACTTTCACAGATAGGGGTCTAGTAGACCACCTCAATGTGCCACCTGTTCCCCCTACTAGGCCTTGGGTAAGTCTCAAATTTTCGACCTACGTTAGTTTTCGACCACTCTAGTTTTCGACCCCCCATTTCCCGACCACATAGTTAATAACGATTTTTTAATTATCCATTTCTATGTCACTTGTAAAATGATATTGTTTTATGATGTAAACAGTGTGAAGCATTGACCCTCGCTACATTTTTTAAGACATGCGATCACAAACTGGTCTAATTTTGTATATTTTCATTATAGTAAATGGATAGTTTACAGTGAAATAGTTTCAAATTAACTATTATCTAACATTTCTAATATTGTTATGCGAATAAATTTGTATTTCCAAGAGATGAAAATTGCGAAAATAGCACTAACTGTCGAAAACTAATGGTCAAAAACTCCAAGGGGGTGTCGTAAAATCGGCAAAAGGATGATTATACTTTACAGGACGGATGCAATTTAATTTTATGAATTTGTAGTTGGATGTAGATGCATGCATCTGTTAAAATTAGATTCCTGTAAGTAATTCTATTGTCCAAACTCCAAAAATTACGATGTTTTTTAGTCCTACAGTGTATGTCGAAAATTAGCGACTTACTCTAGATCCGCACCTGAATTTTACACACACCTGAGCGCAGTGCTCATTCAGCATTGGTGAAGCTGGCTTGACTGTAATCTTAATTTGGTTGAGTGAGGCCTACCCTAGGCCTAGTCTTACTCTTGGATCATACTGACAATGACCTATGGCTATGCCTGGGCAAATACACATTATTGCTTGGAAAGGATAGGGAACCACCACAGCACATCAGTGTCACCTGGTGTTTTAGGCCCAAAGGAACAGTCATAAATTTCACTTTTATCATTCAATTTCATTCATTTATAATCATTAGCCTTAGTCTATCTAGGCCTAGGCCTATATGTACATCATTATCGTAAGTCATTAATTGGGCCTAGCTGTCCTACACCATACACTACTGGCCCTTCTAGGCCTAAACCCGCTGAAAAGGGAAATTATCTTATTTAATGATAATATATAGGTAGTACCACTGTAATAGTGTAGTAGCAAAACGTTCTTTTCATGGGATTTCCAAGGTTTAACAATATCTTTTGCGAGGAATTCCCGGCTTTTTTTTTTAAGCCATCCACACAGCGCGTGGAGAAATCGAACATAGGTTATTAGGTACTGTAGGATCGAGAATCCATCGCCCTCACCGATAAAGCAGGAACCTGCGGGTAGATACTTGACAAAAGAATCTCGCTATACTAGCCTAGCTAAAGCCTAGGATGGTCTTCAGACTTACCTTTTTAACTTCAGTTTCTGAAGCATTTTTAGATACACCTAGTAAATCGTAAAGGGTATTATCTGTTTCTCTACTTCTGCTATGATGACCATGAGGAAAACCACCAAAACTGTTAAAAAACGCCATCTTCGTCGTTAACTTGCGAATCGTTCTTTCCAGAAAGTCTACGAACCCTTACGTCATCGTTCTTCCGGTTGTGTATAAATTATAGAGGGCGCAACCCTGGACCAGCGATGCGAATCAAATTATGCTAGACTAAATTGGGAAATTATGCTAGTATAATTGAAATATTCGAACAAGCGCCCCCGCCAGTGGCGGCGCCAGTGGGGTGGCAGGGGGGAGAGCCCCCCGCACCGGACAGGCCAAGCCCTGCACCGGACATAGCTCGTCGGGCATTCAGACCATAAAACATATAAAAATAGGCCTACAACAAGCCAACACATGTCTGTCACAGTCTGATAGTCCCATTTTCGGCCATCTATAGGTTGATATTCTTAAAAAATATCATTTGGGAGGGGAACCCCGGCCCTCTCAACCCCTTCTCCCAGCTCGAGCCTACGAGCTCAAGATCCCCTTGTCT